AGAAGTTGGGGTGTATGGGTAGCACTTTAAATGCACTTGTGATGTCTGCTTTGGAGAGCCAAGTTCCCCGGCCTGCGAGATGGATGAGAGTGATGGCACGATCGATTGATGCATATTGCATTGAGAAATCAGTGCATGGGATGATGCTGTTGATGCTAGGGATTTGTGAACCATGGGGGGAGGAGAGGTCTATGATCATCCTCTTTTTGCCGAAGTATTTTCAGGTGGCTATGCCAACGGGGCTGACCCGAAACACTAGGAAAGGTGGTTCTTTAAATGGGCCTATCAGGAATCCCTCTTTGACCTCTTTAGCTAGCAAGGAATCAATGGTGTTGGGTTCCTTGGGAGCAAACTGAAGGTTTTGGCAGGTATGTAAAGTGTCGGGAAGAATGTCTGTGCCAGGATGAAAATCGTGAGTGAAGCCGTTTAGAAGGAAGTTGACAAACTGGCGGCGTAGTTGGGTTATGTGGGCAGGTGCACCTGGCATGTGCACCCCCGCAGAAGGATCAGATGTGTAGGAGGCGACAGGTGGAGAGGGTGCAGCCGAGGTGGTTGAAGTTATTGCAAACCATCCTTCTGGCTTGGTATAGGATGGGCCTTCCTTTCTTGTCGACTCCTTTTGGCATGGGAACATTGACAGTAGGTCGAATGTCTAGGGGCGTGGAGGTGCAGCAGGTGACAAGCGGTTGAAGATTGTGGTGTTGTGAGAGGAAGATGGGCGTGGACAGGGTGATGGAGCACTGACAATGCATGCTATGGCAGGGTGGGAGGGGGCTCCACATAGCTCACAAGAGAGGGAGGTGCGGGCGGCAAAGATTTGGCAATACAATTCGGACTCGAGTGTGCCCCAGTATGTGTTCTGATTGAACTGCTGGATGCGTCCGGCTGCCTGGTTAGCAAAGTGCACATGGTAGCTGTAAAAGCCTGTGCCGCCAAAACGCAGGGCCATGTCTAGGATAATCGTCAAGCTCAGACCTGCGATATGGAAAAATGGTGTCACGGAAAAGTGAAAATGCTAAGGCGTATTCTGCTTGTGTTAGGTCTTTTGACCTGGATGGAAGTGGGTCGCGGAGCTGAACTGGGCGAAAATGGTTTGCATCTCCCTAGGCTTTCTTGTGTCAGTGGTGGATGGGTGGAGTAGCTGAGCTAGATCGACGTAATTAACGGAGAGAATTTGTTGATGTAGTGCCGGTGAAACGGGTGAAGGACGGTTGATGGATGAGGCTGGTTGAATAGGTGGAGCGGTTGTGGCTAGTGTGTAATTATGAACAGGAGGTGGAAATACATTTAGGTGTTGGGGAAGGGAGGGGGTGGGAATGGGGAGGGAGGATTGATAGGATAGATCAGTAGGAAACGGAGGGGGCTGAGAATAGCCATTGTTGTGAATTGCTGGAGGGGCTTCTTGAAGAGCTGAGGAACTGGCTATGGTGGGAAGAGGGGGAACAGAAGCCGTATTGTTGTTTGAGGCTGAAGGAAGAGAGGAGAAAGGGAAGTTGGAATGAAAAGATGTATGTGCACGGGGATTTGGTGCAGCCTGCGAACACAGGGAAGTAAAGAAAGCTGTGATAGCTTGAGAGAAGTCAGACACAGAGGGAGCAGGCACAGGAGGTGATACAACCTGGTCCCCACCAGGGGGAGCCGATGAGGCGAGCTGTGGTTGAGGGAGCTGTTCTGTGACATCACTCCTGGCGTTACTGGTGGTGATTGGCTTGGGCGGGGAAGCAGGAAGCGCAGGATTTACGGCTGCTGCAGCTGCGGTGTTTGTGGAGCAATTGTAGAGCAGGACTAGCCTTGCTTTATTGTCTTTGCGGTGGAATGGGATGCCTCCTGCTTTCAGGGACCGACAGAGGTGGGTGACAGTCCAGTTGCTGATGTCGTCCTCATTTCATGGGAACCGAGTCTGCTGTCTTGGCGAAGCTTCGCTGCAGCATGTTGAAATGCCTGTGGCTGAGCGGTGAGAGCGGTGTGATTGTAGCTCCTATGGTCTGCAGATCTTCTTGGTGGAGATGAGGCTGTCGATCTGTCAGGAGTCATTGGGATGATGTTCGGGGAGCGTGAATGTGTATGGCGTGGTTACAGGATGATAACCACGAAGCGCAAGCGGCTCTGCCATGGTGCTTGGCTGTGGTCCGATTAATGCTCACCGAGTGAAGGCTGATTAACCTGGAAAAGTTCGTCATATAGATCCTCGTGCGAGTCGTGCTGCTGGAGTTCCATGTAAGTGGCTGAATTTTACCATTTCTTTAATGCGAGCGAGCGTTACAGCTTGGCACACGGTCTGTCTGTGCTCCTCAGAGAATTGCAGACAAACGGAGTGTGGTGGGCTGGCTGTGTATAAATATGCTAGTCAGGTGATTGAAGGTGTGGTGAGACATGGTCCTGCTCCTGAACCTTAGTTAATACATTAACTTGATTTGTTATAGACTGTTATAGACCTTTTTAGCGAACGGCAAACGCCACTTCCGCTTTTACTTCCGTATTCTCCCGAATGATGTTCTGGTCTTCTGGTAGCTTAGCTAGCGTAAGTTGCGTTTCCAGCCTCGATAAAGAGAACAACAGACGGATAGGAGAAAGTCAAACATGGATATACCGACAAAGAAACGTAGTTCGGGGAGGATGTGCGCCGTTATTGGATGCAAAAATTCACAAAAGCGTCTGAACGAGTGGCTTGATCGGGAGTGTTTTGACCACAGGCCAGCCACAAAGCGGAATTGTACATGCGACCCGTTGTTTTCATTTTTCAAGAAGCCAAAAGATGATTACAAATCGCAAATGTGGCTGAAGGCGTTGAACCTGAAGAAACCACCCAAAAACGTTTTTGTCTGTTCCTTCCACTTTGTGGAGAAAAAACCGACGGAAGAAAATCCTTTCCCAGAGCTCTGGATGGGTTACAATCGCTCTCCCCAGAAGAGGAGACGTTCTTTTGAAAGGCGAACCCCTTCCTCTCCCCATAGAAAAAGGAGTCGTCGTCAATCGGGTAAGTTTTGCTTCAGCTTGTCTTTAGCTAACACTAATACTTTGAACTTGTCATAACACAGATTTGTGTACAAACCTGTAGTTGCTCTGTATATTGTTGCCATAAACATTGTAGCCTTGCAAGTTTAGCAGTTTGCTATCTGTGTTTTAGGGGCGCTGCAGGTTGCCATAGACTAAAACATGAGTTTGTAGGCTACACCCTGGAATAACAGAAATATTTGTGATCAGATTGAAGTAATATTTGATCAGACAGTGCCCCCAATATAAGAAACCAGAGTGCAATTTATTAGCTAAACACTGTGTGTGTTAGTGTGTGTGTGTGTTTGTTGGGAGTGTGTTTGTTGTGTGTGTGTATCTTTGTCTGAGTGTTTGAAATTGTGATGCTGTAGTGACAGCAATGTTCCATAGTTATAGCATTAATTTTACTCCATGTTTTCTCTCCTCCCTTGTTCAGATGTCACCGAAACTTGTGAGCCTGCTGCACCAGATGTCCCTGAAACCTGCCCGCCTGCATGTGAGCCTGCTACACCAATTTATCGGGATGCACAGACACAGTGGCAAGATCCAACGATTGTTGATCATAACTACCTCTCAACAAAACTGCCCATCAACAAAGAGGATAAAGCAACACAGTGTGAGGCAGAAAACTATCCTACTGTGGCTAGCACTACAGTCACTGATGATGGCAAGTCGTTGTTGTTCACAGGAGTGCGTAAGGCACAGTTTTTCGCTTTGGTGACGTCATTGCCTCCCTTCAGTGAGCCATCGGTTAAGCTTCCCGTTGTCGACCAAATCCTGATGACCTTAATGAAACTCAGACTAAACCTTTTATTAGGAGATATCGCTCATCGCTTCAGAGTGTCCACAAGCATGGCAAGCATAATGATTGGTCACTGGATTAATGTTATGGGTGAGCAGTTCAAAGTCTTGATCCCCTGGCTTCCAAGAGAGACCATTTATGCAACCTTGCCCTTGTCATTTAAGAAGAACTACCCTCAAACCACCTGCATCATTGATTGTGCTGAAAGTGCAATTCAGAGGGCTAGAAACCTTGACTCCAGAAGTGACACTTTCAGCCACTACAAAAGCACCAACACTGTGAAATATCTTGTTGCTGTTGCTCCCAATGGTGTCATCATGTTTATATCCGACGGATATGCTGGCAGAAGCAGCAACAAGTTTATCACCATGGACAGTGGGTTTCTGGACTACCTGAGGGCTGGTGATGAGGTAATGGCGGACCGGGGATTCACCATTCGAAACCTGCTCGATGAGAGAAAGGTCCGGTTAAACATCCCTGCATTCACCTACAGTCGTGGTCAGTTGACCAATGAGGAGGTGACACGCACCAGGCGGGTGGCCAATGCCCGCATCCATGTAGAGAGGGTCATTAGAAGGTTGAAGGTATTCAGGATTTTATCTCAAACCATTCCCATCACCATGACACCGAGGTTGGATAAGATTTTAACCATCTGCGCTGGCCTTGCTAACCTTAGGGGTCCACTGATACGACTGCCACATGAGGTGTGAAACATGACTGTGTCCCCGTCTACAAAAGCCCAGGCATCTTTTTCTGGAAATAGAAATTGTATGTATGTATGTATTCTACATACAATTGTGAATATTTTTTGGACATTTGGACTATTTTGTAAAATTTGGTAATTTGTATTTGATCTTCTAACACCTAACAAACATTTCCTGCATCCAATATTTGATACATATTGTTTTGAGTGTCAATGTTACTTGCAGCTTACTACTAATTAATAAAGCAATAGAACATGAGTGGAAGTGGTCGCGGTCCATTTAATGCAATAATGCAATGGTGCAATTAAACTTAAAAAGAACACAGGTACAATGACTAATTACACAGTATATAACATTGCACTGCTTAAACCTGAAGTAAACAATGAACATATTGCACAATTCGAGCATTTCACAGTCACAGCTTAGCTCTTAGAACAAGAGTTGAATCAACCTGAAAGTTGTTTGTGTGCAGAATGCACATTGCTCAGAGGTCCTTTATCTTATTTAAGAGTGAGATATGTATTGCACAACTGTAAGCGCCCCTTGACAAAATCATCAACGATTTTAGGAAGCATGTGAGTGAAGTAGAATGTGCGCAGCCTTGTAATATGCCTCTGAAGGAAGTGTTTGTCATAAGGTACTTGGATTTCTATGTGTTCAGTGTTGTTCCAGATCACCAACAATGCACGTGGAAGCCCTGTGCAGTGCATGCCCAGTTGCACCTGCATGTAGTAGCCTTTAGGACCATTGGAGGCAAGGAGGTAATGTCCGTCGGCTAGGGGTGTGACTTCAGCATTCTTCGTAGCCAGTGCCTCTCTGAGCGACTTCTTCCCCAGCACAGGTGATTTGATCTCCAGCAGCATCTCTTTTTTCATCACTCCGTCTGGACTTGCTGCGAGCCATGGTTCGGCTGGGCACACCACAAGGCCTTTGTTTTCGATGGTATGGCCTTGTGTATTGTAAATTGCCTTGCGTGTTCCTCACTCACTGCTCCATGGTGTGTTGCAGCATTGCCATGGAAGGTTGGATATAGATGCTCTGATAAAAACTTCTCAGGTGAGGTGGTTGAGCGAATTGGCACTTTTCTAGCTGTGCTTGCTGTAATGCGCACTCTACGCATATCATGCCAGAGCTGTAAGGGATGAAAAAAAAATTTAAAAAAATTTCTTTACACCTGCAAAACATATTTTCATATATCTGTGAGGACAAAACCATTGTATGTTATTGATCCAACATACCTGTACTTTGCTTTGTGCTTTTGTAAGCTTCTCAGTGTTCTCCAGCTGGGCTGTGGGCATGTTTACGTAGTCATCATAGAAGGTTCTGCATTTTCGACAAGACAGTGGTGTGTGGTGGTCATCATGGGACAAATTGTGGAGTGGTGGAGATTGTGGTGTCATGGGAGAGGGATCCGCATCAAGGCAGAGTTGCAGGAGGCTACTACCCGGGCATGTAAAAAGTCCTGCCATCGGTGAAGCTAGTACATGCTTCCTCCACTCTTCACGAGTCCCAAAGAGTCGGGCTTCCTGTCTTGAATTTGTAGTGGTAGAGGATGTTGTGGTAGAGGATTGCATTGTTGTCGATGGCTGGTAGATTTTCTGCCTGTAGTGTTGTTTGAATTGTACATCTTTCATCTTCCTTTGACCTGCATTTCTTTGTGAACCAGCATTCCACTTGTTCTGTCTGTCTGTGCAAGCAAGTCCTGTTTTCCCCTGCCTCACAGCATTTTCCACCTATAAGAATATGAAGAACACAGATCACACATATTAAAATGAGTTCACAGATTTCCATAATTCTATATCACACACAGCCTGTTCATTTACAGTTCACTAGGTTACAGAAATGCTCTTTGGAAATAAAATCCATTTGTATTATCAGCACCCATAGACATATTACACTCTATTATCTTATGCTATTTCAAGCCAGAAATCTCAAACTGATAGCTCTTTTCAATCAAGGCTAAAAAGACTATTGTTACTTATCTTACTTAACAAGCAATGTTTAGCTTGTGCTTACCTTCCACATAATCGCAGCCGCATGACTACATGATCGTCCCGGTCCAGCAACACATGTACAACCAGCGGTCTGCACATCCCCATTTTCGTTGAGCAGCACCCAGGCGCTATGCGGAGAATTATTCAAACACTGGCTGGGCTCGACGCTTGCTTTCAGATAAACAAAGCCATCATGTTTGTATGCTAGTACACATCCGACTTTGCCGCTGTGTAGATATTGGTACGCTTCGGAGGCTTTGAGGTTTTCCCTGGCTTTGCCATCGATTGCCATGGATTCTACAAAGTAAGCGCAAATCTTACTGTAGGTAACACTCGGCCAGATCGACATATTGTCCTCCCAGGCGCGCAACGAATCTGGGTGCGGGATCGTTATGCCACCCCCACTTAAAGTGCAGCCACTGTGTTCCCATTTCACGGGCATAGCTACGCTCCTAGCTTCCTCCTCCTATCTGCTTTGTTTACGACAGGCGGGAAGTGACAAACATCAACTTCAGGTGGCGCTGTGTACGATGGCGCCGCCCTACACTTCGGCGCGTGAAATTGTCTATAGACTAGGCCTGTTATGAAGAGTAAGAGAGTTTAAGACTCAGACTGTTATGAACTTATGGAAGTTATGGACCAAGACTGTAATAGAGTGTTGAAGACCAAGGCCATATTTGGTATTTTGGTAGACTGAGGTGGTTGTGATAGGCATGGCAGTTCTTTTAGATGTACTGAATCACTAGAATCAGTTCACCAAAAAGATTTGTTCACTGAATCACCAAATCATTCAGTGCTTGGCGAGAGGAGCCTGCGACTCCGACTTCCTGAACTGATACACAGCTGAACGATTCAGGATTCAGTTCAGATCATAGCCTCTGGGACCAGGAGACTAAGGGCTCTATTTTCGTCCGCGCCGGTGAGGCGGCGGAGGGCGGCGAGCCCCGCGCAGTTGTATTTTCGTCTGGCGGAGCCCAGCGTAAGGCCAATTTGGTATTTTCGTGGCATGAGCCGCACGGAGGCGAGCCGAGATCCGCCAAGCTGGGCGTGGTGGCGTGGCAGGGGGAGGTGTTGACAGAATCAGCAGGCGCAGTGACATTTTCGTGCTCGCCAACGGCGTGTAAAGTGCGCTGAAAGCTCGCCGATTCAAACCTGGTCAGCTTTCAGCGCAAGGCGGAACGCAGCTGGTCTTGTAGTATTTTGGTAGACCGGCGGCGTATCGACATACGTCACTGATGCCTCACCGGCAGGTTTCCACAGTGTCAGGCAGATTTCAGTGCAATAAATAATCATCATCAACTATTAATCTGAGTCAGCACATACATTTAGATCTATATAGATATATTCTGATCTATATCTGATCTGATGAGCGCGTTTGGCACGCGTTTGGACACACAACCTGACCGAATCAACACAGCTGAGACCGCATTAAATTAAATTAAATATCTAGTAAATAAACACAAATGATGAAGTTAACTAGATATTTAATTTGTCTCCCTCCTTTTCTTTCTTCCTCTTCCTCTTATTTCTCGCACAGCTCGACCTGGATATGTGTCTGTGTCCTCTCTCTGTGCGGCGGCGGCTGAACGGATGATTTGTTTCAGTGCTCAGATGAGTTATTTACTTTAAGCCTACATACGAATATTATAATATTTAGTTTTGTGAACCAAATTTATTTTATATGCCAACATCTATGAAAGAGAGAGCCATGAGGCCAAGGAGCATGATGCGTCATTACGCACAGATGGTTGTGATTTTAATGCCATTATTGGAATTTATGGTGTGATCTGTGCGCACAACTCATCTTTGTCATATGGGATTTAAATATATGCAGCACATACATTTAGATCTACAGTACATTTTGATGTATATCTATAGGAGCGCGTTTGGCACGCCTAATTGCCACTCCACCTGACCGAGTAACACAGCTGAAACTCTGATGCAAACTAACTACTTCACGTCTCTCTACCAACCACAAACAGCTTCGTCATCACAGAGAGAGTATATATTTGGCATGTCATCTCAGAACACTGAGAAAAGAATCAACGCACACTGAAGCAAAGTAAGTTATGACCGTTGTTCTCAAGATTTACATGCAGCATGTGATCTCACAGCTACAAATTTAATAATTTCCATGCTTAACTTTATCTACAAAGATGGAGTACATAATTGCAAGGAGGTGGAGGAGGAGGAGGAGAAATTACAGAGAGAGGGTGATTCATCACAGGGCATCATATTTAACCTTAACAGAGCAGGAATGCAGGTGGGCCACATGGATAACGCCTCCAACACCGTGTTCAATACAACTGCCTTTTAACAATCTACTATTTTCCTTGACACAGGACCAAATTACACCTGCCTCGTGAGGTGGTCCACGCGATCACACGGATTGTGGCCTCAGATGCGGACCCCGGTGGCCCATGCGCTCTCCCACTTGCTGTGAGGGTGACAGCGGCTCTGACTTTCTTCGCCACCGGGTCTTTCCAGCATACCGTGGCTTCGGTGGTAGGGATAAGTCAGGCCGCTGTCAGTTTGGCCATACATGCAGTGTCCACCAGTCTAGTCCGACACGCAAATGAGCACATCATTTTCCCATCATCACCTGCAAGCCAGCTGGAAACGAAGCGAGGGTTCTTGTTGAAATATGGATTCCCTGGGGTCCTTGGAGCAATTGACTGCACACATGTGCAGTTGCGCGCACCAGAGACCCAAGCCCTCATTTATGTGAATCGTAAGGGAGTCCACTCCATTAATATCCAGGTGATTTGTGACTCAAATTGCCTGGTGACAAACGTGTACGCTAATTACCTGCACATGATTCATTCATCCTGGCGAATTCTATCATCCCTACAGTCTTTCAGGGGGACACCCCTCTGGATGGGTGGCTGCTAGGTGATAACGGCTATCCACTGAAAACGTGGTTGATGACGCCATACATTACACCTTCAACAAGACAGCAACGTGTTTTTAACAGTGTCTTCAGCAGTGCTAGGTCAGTCATTGAACGTACTTTTGGAATCCTCAAAATGCGTTTCAGATGTCTGGACCGGTCAGGTGGTTCATTAACATACAGCCCGCAGAGTGTCGGTGCATTCTTTGTGGCATGTTGTGTTTTACACAACTTAGCTATACGCCATGGATGCCACTACGACCTCGCCGAGGACACATTACTGGACTTTAGACAGAGAGAGGCCGAATTGCATGTGCCATGTCAGCAGGGAGAGCAGCAGAGCGCGCAGGTGAGGAGGGACCGCCTCGCAGCACAGCTCTGCCCTTAAGTGTGAGTATTTGCTTTCATTCATTTATACACTTTTTGTAATTATCCACATTAAAACATCCAATAAATAGTCAAACATGATTGCATTAACAAGTGTTTTTATTGTGTTTTTCCCCTCCCAACCCCCCTTCTTCTTCTTCCTCCTCCTCCTCCTCCTCCTCTTGGGTCTGGACGCTGCAGTCGGTCAGTCAACCCAGGGGGCCGCCCCCCTCTTGTGCGCGGCCTCAGCGGCCACCTGGGACAGGCGGGGGCGGATGATTCTGCTGGTGGCAGCAGCCTTTCGGCTACCTGGACCAGCCGCTGCAGTGTCGCAACGCCAGCGGCTAAGGGGAGCAGGCTGGCCTGGAGGACCTCCTGGAGAGCCTTCACCTGGGCCTCCAGCGACCCAAGCCGCGTCCCCATCGACCCCAGCTCCCTCTCCAACATCAGAAAACCAGCCCGCTGGGTGTCCAGGAAGGGCTGGTCCTCCCGCTGAACGCGGTTTCGTCTCCGACCCCGTGTTGCCGGCTCCTCTCCACGTCCTGCCCCCTCACGCGTCTCCGGCACCGGCTCCGGCTCCCCCTGGTCCTCCTCCTCGCGGTCGTCTTCGTCCTCTCCCTCCTTCTCCTCCCCCCCGACCACCTGCTGCTGCTGTTCTTCCTCCTCCTCCTCCTCCTCCTCCTCCTCCCTTGTGGTGTGCTGCTGCCGCGACGGCGGCAATTCTGCCGAGGCTGACCAGAAATTTTATTTTAGTAAATCACAGAAATTCTTTTTTTAAAAATGTTAATACTTTCATTTAGAATAAAGAAGTTAGAAATTGTGTGAGCAAAGTTCATTTCAGATGCAAACATTAGCGGAAAGGGGGAGAAAATACAATCAGGCTTTGTTTGATCCGTCTTTACGCACAGGTGGTTCCGATTTCAATCCCATTACGCATGGCATTTTTTCAGATCACCTGTGCACACAACACACCTTAGTAACACGTGGTTAAATATACATGTTAGTGTCTTTATTTGTGGAAAAGAATGTTTGTCTTACCCGTGAGTCCAACCTCAGAGACACCAAACCCCTCGATACTAATTTTGGGGAGTGTGGAGGACGCCACGTCCTCCGCAGGGCTCAGCACCACACTCGTTGAGGGGCCGCCTCCGGTCGTTGCAGTCTGGCGACGGTGTTGGGATAATTTAAGTTTAGCCCGTCGTCTAACATCATTGAACCGCTTTTTGCATTGCGCAGCGGTTCTCAGCACGTCCGGGCAAACTTGATTGACAGCAGCACTTACCTCTTCCCAGGCTGCTTTTGCATCATCGACCCGTGGAGGTCTGTTCGCGTGACCGTATATCCGGCCACTGCGAGACTGGACCTCCCGGACCAGAGCATCAGTTTCCTCCTGAGAGAAGTTCGGCTGTCTCGCACTCGTTTCCATCTCGGCCATCTGTGAGTCTGCTGCACGAAAATGCCAATGCGCCTCGCCGACGGCGGATTTAAAGGCGAGGAGAGGCGGTTATTTGATTGGCGCAAATTGGACTCGGCTGTGTTAAACCCACTTCACACCCACTCTCCTTCCCCCCACGACGTATGCTGCTGGGAGGAGCTGAGTTAGGGAGGGGGGATACTTACGCCGGGCTGTGCGGCTCACCAAAATACCAAAATGTGCTTGGGAACGCCTTGTCAGCGCGGCGGATCTGATTGACGCTGCGCTTGCGGCAGATCTCCGGCGAGGCACCAAAATAGAGCCCTACGTGTTGTAGCTGTGTTGCTTTGACAAACAGGTTTGTAAAAATGAACTTGTTTATAAATAATGGGGTTGTAAGTGTTTTGTCCTGTGGTTTGCTATTTATCTGGTCTACTCTGCAAATTAGACTCAGTAAGTGATTCGTTCACTGAATGTTTACCCCACTGTACATTCAGTGAAGAATTCACACTGAACATGCACTGTTCCCTCACAAATCACTGTTTTCTGCTTGTTTTGTTTGGTTGTTTTTCTTCTTCCTTTTTTCCTTTTTTTTTCTTTGGTCTATTATGTTTGCTATTTTGTACCCTTGAAAGCAGCTATATTGTAACCATGGAATGTTTAAAATAAAAATTTGTAAACTGGAAAATGTAACCTTCTAATGTTGAAATTCTCAATACTTTCCTGGAATGTACAGGGTATTAATAAGAGCTCCAAATATACAAGTTGCATTGAATTCCTAGATAGCAAACGAATTGATATTGCTCTGCTTCAAGAAATGCATATATTGTCATCAGATATAGGTAAACTAGACAATAGAAAATATGATGTTGTCTCATTTTCCCATTTGGTCAACAGGACAAAGGGAGTGATGATTCTAATTCGCAAGTCTTTTAATTTCAGTATAGACGAGCATGGAAATGACTCTGCCGGTAGAATTTCCTATATTAAAGGCACTCTTGCTGATAAAAAGATGGCATTTATATCAGCCTATGCTCCCAACATCTATGACCCTTCATTTTTTGCACAATTGACAAATACATTACAAGACCTTTCAGACGGCCTATTTATTTTAGGTAGTGATATGAACGCAGTGCTCGATCCCTCTATGGATAGGTCTGGAGGGCAGGCTGCTCAGAGTACGGCTAATTCAACTCTGAGGAAAATGGTAGATGCCTTTTCTCTTATTGATGTTTGGAGAACTTTTAATCCCTAAACAAAACAGTACACCTTTTTCTCTGCGAGACACAGAACATATTCAAGAATAGACTATATTATGGCAACTCCCAATGTGTCTCGCTGGGTCAGAAAGGTAGAGATAGTCTATACATCATCATCTGACCACCATGCTAATAAGTGTGAAGTAGCATTTGAGAGTAACCCAAAACGTGCTTTAAGGTGGAAATTTAATTTAACTCCACTACAGGATGCTAATTTCTGTGAACACCTTAAATCAGAACTTAATGCATTTATAAGTATTAATAAGAACTCAGTAAATGATGTAGGATATCTATGGGATGCAATAAAAGGAAGCATTCGTAACTGTACAATCTCATTTGCATCAGCACGTAATAGGACTTATCTCCAAGGACTAGCAAAGCTGGAGACTAGATTCTCCTATCTAACCTTTCAACAACAAAACAACTTTGACCAAGAGAGGGAAAAAGAATTAGGGGAGGCTAAGGCTGAACTAAATGCCTTCCTTATGCGAAGAGCAGAGTTTCTAGTGCATGGAGCAAGAGAAAATCAATATTTAAATGGAAATAAGCCAAGCTCTGTTCTGTCTAGAAAAATACACTACAACGATAAAAAAGCAGACATTGTTGCTATCCAAAACAGAGAGGGTGAAGTGATATATGATCCCCTTGAAATTAATTATGAATTTAAGTTATTTTATCAACAGCTGTACTCATCTGAAGCAACCTTTGCAAAAAGTGATCTTGTTTCCTTTTTCGATGGCTTAAACATATCCAAAGTACCAGAACAGCAAAGACTTTTATTAGATTCCCCTCTCACTATTAATGAAATACATGAGGCAGTTAAATGCATGAACCATGGTAAATCACCAGGCCTGGATGGAATCCCCCCTGAGTTGTATTTAAAATTTTGGGATGATCTGGGCCCATTTATTTTGGAAATGTTTCAACAGGCCATCAAATAAGGATCCTTTAATAGAGATATAAATACGGCTATTATCTCTTTGCTACACAAAAGAGGTAAGGATATCACCTTATGTTCCAGTTTCCGCCCTCTGTCACTGCTTAATGCAGATGTTAAGCTTTTCGCAAACGTTCTCGCTCGGAGGCTTGAGACAGTTCTGCCAATCTTGGTTCATCCTGACCAAACGGGTTTTGTAAAACAAAGACATGCATCTGATAATATGAGACGTCTTTTACACATTGTTGATGCTGGTACCAATATAGCTTCACCCTGTGCAATGTTGTCCATAGATGCTGAAAAAGCCTTTGATAGACTCGAATGGGAATATCTGTGGCACACTCTGGAAACTATGGGTTTTGGTAATAATTTTATTGGTATGCTTAAAACATTGTACTGTAATCCAACTGCTGTGGTTGTTACATCTAAGCAAAGCTCTGCACCTTTCTGTATTGAAAGGGGTGCTCGCCAAGGTTGTCCAGTTTCTGCTTTGCTGTTCACATTATCTCTGGAACCCTTAGCTCAAAAAATTAGAAACTCAGAGGAGGTAAAACCAATAACAGTGAGCAGAACCTATCATAAGACCTCTTTGTATGCAGATGATTTATTATTATTTCTCAATGATGTGCAGTCTTCTCTGCCTGCTGCATTGGAGATTTTTCATAATTTTAGTTTGATATCAGGACATAAGATAAATTTAAACAAGGCGTCTTTGCTTCCTTTAAATTCTGCTGTGAACAATCTGCAGTTGAATGTGGGGATCCCAGTAGTTACACATTTTAAGTATCTTGGAATCGACATTTATCCATCTCTTGGAAAAATTGTTTCTAAAAATTATAAGTGCCTAAAGAAATCTATCGGACAAGTTAAACAGATGGGCTGCTTTTTTAATTTCCCTTGCTACACGAATATCAGTGACTAAGTCCCATATACTTCCCAAGGTTAACTTTTATGCGGGTATGCTACATTTACCCCCACCAGCTGGATTTTGGGAGAAGATACAGTGCCTAGTGTTTAAATTCATATGGCAAAACCAGCACCCAAGAATTAGTAGGTCTACGCTGCAGAAGAATAAGACCTCAGTAGGGTTTTCAGTACCTAATTTTGAAATGTATTTCTTATCCTTTATGCTGGGTGAATATAGAGAATCATATTGTACACCCATATACGCTTAAAGATGTCCTTTTTTCAGGCCTCTACCCTAAATTCTGTCTGAATAAATTTGGATCAATTGTCGCAAACTCAGTTTCAGTTTGGAATAATATAGCCAAATTAGTCAAATGGGATTTTAAGTGGCACTTAGATACACCAATTTTTAGAAATAATCTATTGCTTATTGGTGGTGAGCCAATCACTTTTCCCTCTTGGCAAAATCAGGGAGTTCATACGTTGTCTGATATTTATAATGAAGACTGCTTTAGACCATTTCATGAACTTAGACAAATCTATTACCTGCCTGGTACCTCTTTCTTTTTTTATTTACAGTTGCGCACAGCAATAGCGAACATATGGTGTTCCATGGAATCAAACACTACTAGTTCATCCTTTAATGTATATCTTGAACATTGCAAAAGTTAAAAAAAACGGTTTTGTTTCAAATATTTATCATGAGCTACAAGGAAGATTATCTGGACCCACAGGCATTGTTCTTGTCTGGAATACAGATACCAAAGATTACGGGTTTAGCATTAACTGGCAGAGAGTCTGGAGTAATATTTCTTTATCGTCCCGTAATCACAATAACCAGTTAATTCATTATAAACTAATACAAAGATATTATTTATCTCCAAGACGACGCTGCCAGATCCATATCACTCAAAGCCCATTGTGTCAATTATGTCCTCACAAAGTGTTGGGCACATGTATGCACATGATATGGGAATGCCCCGGGGTCTATTCCTTCTGGCTCAGTATTTCGAACTTTCTTTCGTGTTTAATGCACACAAACATACCTTGTTTACCTATATTTACATACATATACATATGTATGTAATTTATATATTTACATACATATTTTCCTTTTGAACGACGATACCTCTTTGAACTTAGCAATTCATAAGAAAAGAGTACTGTTTGCAGGTTTAACGGCTGCTAAAAAGATGTTGATAAAGAGACCACTTGTACTGAATGTGTATCAGTGGAAATTACTATTTTATGAAATTCTGTCATTAGAAATCTCCAGTGTGCAGGCACAAAAGGCAAAAACAGAAACAATACCCCCCCCCCCCCCCCCCCCAACACACACGCACACATGTATCCACACACACGCACACTTACTGTCAGTAAAAACATGGCAAGGCACTGAGGATCCTGGTGAGGAAAGGCCACCTATGGGAGCCACAGCCCACCCCCACAGGGAGCACCACCCCCAAGACCCCCGACCCCGCACATAGTGCAGAGCCCCCTAGCCGTCCGGGCCTGGACGATCCCAAGGACCATGCCCCCGGGGGCAGACCAGACACACCTCCCAGTGTGGAGGGCAGTGGCGATTGCTCTAAGACTGCAAGGGAAGCTAAGCTTCCCTTAAAATGTCACCCCCCCAAAAAAAAGAAAAAGTGGTGAAATACGTACTGCTGTGTGTACATTTCATTAACTAAATACGCGCTAGAAAGCCTTCATCTTTTGCTCAGAATCAGCTTCTTATCACACTGTGATAAGAAGCTGATAATCACAGGTAACCGGCACAACTTCGTTGTCATTCATCCTCGCAGCACCTCAGTGCTTCACACAGCCGGACGCTCAGAGTCTGCTGACTTCAATGTGGAAGCTCAAAGTGGGTTGTTCCAGCAGCGAAACTAGACGCTCATTGGATAAATGCTGGGCTTTGTCCCGCCCATCGGACGCTCTGCGTCTCTGGAGTTCTATGGCGAGAGGGCGGTCCCGACTTTCTCCCAGACTCCGAGCTTCTGCATCCATGATTGGATGAGCTGTCTGAGGCGAAATCCTTTTTTGATTGACAGCTAAACAAGCGAATCAGCGATCTTGAAGAATAAAACATCTACCAGAGCATTTTCCAAGTTATTCATTCCGTTGTTCTTAACTGCTCCGGAGACTTTACCGATCCTCAGCGACTTTTGTCTTTGTTAAAAACGACTGCCGTTGTGTTTGGTGACTCTGTTCTGTTACATACAAATAAACAAACACAATTATGATGTAGGCCAGAAAAATGAGCTTCCCCTCCTTGAAAGACCAGCAGCCGCCACTGGTGGAGGGCCCCCACGAGGAAACACTGGAGCTAAAAAGACTAAGAGATGGTAGAGTACAGGAATTCAAATAATGTTAAAATATCTAACTGACATAGAAATGTGATAAAAGTAAAGGATAAAATAAACTAAAACAGTTAAATCAGCTAAAAGCTAAACTAAGAAGGTGGGTCTTGAGCCTCCTTTTAAAAACATCAACAGTCTCTGCGGTCCTGATGTTCTCTGGCAGGCTGTTCCATTCAGAATTCTGTAGCAGTTGTAGAATGTGAATAGTCTTTTTGAGAAGACCAGAGAGCAGGGCATTACAATGATCTAAACGACTAGAAATAAAAGCATGCATCAGCACCTCCGTGTTGGCCTGGGAGAGAAACAGGCGGACTCTGGCAATATTCTTAAGATGGTAAAAACCTATCTTTGTTATGTTCTTGATATGTGGAATAAAATTCAGCTCAGAGTCAAAAATTATGCCCAGATTCTTGACAGATTGAGCAGGTTTAAAATCTTGTAGTTTTGGTAAAAGTTTCTCTCTCTTGCCTTCAGGACCAATAATTAAAACTTCAGTTTTGTCCTGGTTGAGCTGTAGGAAATTCTCTGCCATCCATGACTTGATATCTAAAATGCAGTTAAAAAGGGCATCAATAGGCCCTGTGTCCTCAGGAGACACGGCGATGTACAACTGTGTATCGTCAGTGTAACTATGGAAGCTGATGCCGTGTCGCCTGATGACGTCCCCAAGGGGAAGCATACACAGATTAAAAAGTGTTGGACCTAAAATTGACCCTTGGGGCACCCCACACTTAATTTCATGAGTTTTTTAGGAACAGGTATCCATACTTACAAAGAAGGATTGTTCCGAGAGATAAGAACTGAACCAGTTAAAAGCAGTACCGGAGAGGCCCACCAGGTGCCTGAGTCTGCTTAATAAAATCTGGTGATCTACTGTGTCAAAGGCAGCGCTTAGATCCAGTAGTACCAGAACTGTGAGCTTCTGTTTATCAGCATTACACCTAATATCATTTAAAATCTTTAAAAGGGCTGTCTCGGTACTGTGGTTCCGAGCCCACCCCCACAGGGATTGATACTTCTCTAAAATGTTGTTGCTTTTTAAGAAATAATTTACTTGGTTAAAAACCAGTCTTTCTAAGATTTTACTTAAAAACGGTAAGTTGGATACGGGTCGATAATTATTAAGAACATCAGTATCCAAATTGCTCTTCTTCAGAAGGGGCTTCACCACCGCCGTTTTAAGGGCGGTGGGGAAGACACCTGTCTGAAGAGAGCAATTTACTATGGTTAAAATCTGTTCCTCAAAAAATTCATAAAATGTTTTTAAAAATTATGTGGGAATCGGATCTAAAAGGCAGGTTGTTGGGTTTACTTGGGAGAAAACTCGACCAAGTGTCCTTGCGTCAACCAGGGCAAAACTCTCCAGTGTTTCCTCAGGTAAAATCGGCTGTTTAGATGTGTCAAAAATCACATTCTGATGAGTTAAAAGACTGGATCTAATATCATCTATTTTACTCCTGAAGTGGTCTGCAAAGTCCTCACAGAGGGCGTCTGTGGGGGTCTTAAAAGATTTTTTAAAATGGGAGTTTGTTAAAAGATCGATGGTGGAAAAGAGGAATTTGGAATTGTTTTTATGGTCTGTGATGAGTTTTGAAAAGTGGACTGTTCTTGCCTTTTTTTCTGCATTATTGTAATTTTTGAGTGATTCCTGCAGTATCTCAAGGTTAACTGTTAATTTGGTTTTTCTCCATTTGCGTTCGGCACTCCTGCATTTTCTCTTTATGTTTCTGATTTCATCGTTATTTCTCCATGGCGGTAAGGGTTTTGTTTTAATAATTTTCATTACCGATGGAGCCACTGTGTCCAATGTGGTTTTTAATGTACTGTTAAAATAGTCCACAATAAAATCGCATGGTGCAGGTAAAATTGCGGCAGGAGTGCTCTGTAAAATCCCAATAAAATTTGCAGCCACTTCAGGGGTTAGGTAGCGTTTCCTCACCGTTCTCACCGGGGCCTCCTGATGGTTAAACCTGTTGATATTAAAATACACACAGTAGTGATCCGACACAGCCAGGTCGACAACAGAGGACACACCAGTGGATAGGCTGGAAGTTATGACCAGATCCAGGGTGTGCCCTCTGTTGTGAGTCGGCTGTGCCACGTGCTGTTTAAAACCCATGCAATTTAAAAGGTTTAAAAACTCCTTGGACACTGGATCAGAAGGTGTATCAATGTGCAAGTTAAAATCACCAGTTATTAAAATCCTGTCATGGGTAGTGTGTAAGATTTGAATAGTTCTGAAAATTCGCTGATAAAATAATTGGAGTAATGGGGTGGTCTGTAAATTGTAATGCAGAGAGTAGGAGGACTGCTAAAAACAAATGCGTGATATTCTGTATAACTGTTAAAAGAAACTTCATTTGGGCACAGTGTGTTTTTGAATATTGAAGCAGTGCCTCCTCCCTTTCCCAGCTGCAGACGGAGGTGGGGCTGCACTTCGTCCGGCATCAGCTGGGCCCGAATCCAGCCTTCCTGGCAGCGGAGGAAAATCTGCAACACTGAGCACATCATACCTTGAGGACAGCTGGAGATCGAAGTGGGGTTTCAGGCTGGTCCTCCTCTTTACAGCCGCTGTGGACCGTGGGGTGGAACTCCGTATGTTGAACCTCGGGTGTGGAGTGAAGTCCAGTGTGGGAGACGGCACTCGCTTTGGCCTTGCACCCTGAGACAGCCAAGGGTCCCCGGGTTGAGGACGAGCCGGCTCAGCAGGAGCCTCCGCGGGGGGAGGTGGAGAGCCAGAGGCAGCAGCAGCGCTCGTTGGGGCAGGAGGAGCCTGCGGAGCAGCGGCTGCCGGGATGGTGGAGTCCAACTCGGCTGGGTTCACAGGGAGGCCTGCACCCAAAGTCAGCACCGAGTCCAGGAGTAACTCCAGTGGAGGCTGGAAATACGGCGTTCCAGCTCATCGATCGCTTTAGATTTTTGGAGGCAGCTGTTACACTCGTGTGAGGAGGTGAGTGTTTCCATTGTGTATGATAGTGCTTGGATGCAACTTAGTTCAGTGAGCTAAGGTTAGCTGCTTTAGCAGCCGGCTACACACAATCCAGCGAATCAGTTCATTAAAAGCAACTTAAAATCCGTCTCCGATTTCTAAAATTCTTTGCCCGGTTAAAGATAGAGTTAAAAAACAACTGGAATCCAATGACTGTATCACAGTTTGTTGGATTATGGGCAAAGTTGTCGAGAGCTGTCAAACCGGCGTCTGCATCCAGCGTCTGATTGATGTTGCTCCAGGGACAAGGGTGGGGGCAATGGGTATAGATGTAATGAGATAAAGCAAAAAGAAAGAAATAAAAAAGTTGATCACAAAAACAAATCACTGCAATGATAGGATCACACAGTCACCCATTTCTCAGACTGCTGTGTCCTACTGTATGCAAGTTGTTGTGGTGGCAATTTAGCAGAGTTGAAAAAAAGAGGTACACTTGAACACAATGCATCCTTGTTTCCCTTTGTCTCTCCTGTCAAGAGCTTGCTACAGCTGGTGAGTCTCACTATCTTCTCATTACAGCTATTAAAACAATGAGGAACAATGGTCGCCATGAAAGTGTATCCCTCAGACAAAAACTATTCCAGAGAGTGATTCAGGCAAGTGATTCAGGCATCGAAGCATGCAGTCTGTGTGCTATAGCAGCTGCGCTACAAACAGCTCACTGAAGTGAGAAACAAACAAATCACTTGAGGAAGTGATATGTTCAGTACGTTCACTTAAAATCAATCAATCATCAATCAATCAAATTTTATTTGTATAGCGCGAATTCACAACAATCGTCATCTAAAGACGCGTTTCAAAGAACAAGAGTAGGTCTAGACCAAGCTCATTGGTTGATGATCAAGAACCAACCTAAGATGGGTTTTGGCCCATCTCATCTAACATGAATAGCAGTGGCAAGAAAAAACTTCCTTTTAACGGGCAGAAACCTTGGGCAGGACCCGACTCATGCCAGATAAAGGGAGACAGAGAGAGAGAGAGAGAGAGGAGGGGAGAGGGCAGGGGGAGAGAGAGAGAACAAGATAAGGGGAAGGAGAGAGAGAATGAGTAAGAAGAGGGAGGGGGAGGGAGAGAGAGTATAGAAAGAGGGTGAGAGAGAGACAGGGGACAGCAGCAGCTACAACAACAACAGCTCAACAGCTTAAATGATTCATTTCTTTTGAAGGAATTCTTCGCGAACGACACAACTCTATGAGGCACACTGAGATGTGCCAAGCTGGCTGTGGCCTGGCAGTTGGAGGAGGTGTCAACAGAATCAGCTGACATTTTTGAACCCACCAGCAGCATATAAAGTGCACTGAAATCTCGCCGACTCAAATCTGGTCAGCTTTCGGCACAAGTGGAGTGCAGCTGTTCTAGTGGTATTTAAGAAGACCGCTGCAGCAGTGTGCACACGCCACCAATGCCTTACAGGCAGTTTCCACAGTGTCAGACACATTTCAATGCAATAAATAATCAACAACAACCACTATTCAGTACAACTATCTGAGTCAGCACATACATTTAGATCTTTATTGGTATATTCTGATCTATATCTTATCTGACGGCATGCATTTGGACACTCAACCTGACTGAATTAACACAGCCGAAACAGCAATAAATTAAATATCCAGTTAATAGTCACACATGATGAAATAAACAAGATATTTAATTACCACCCCCTTTTCTCTCCTCCTCTTCTTTCTTGCATGTCTTGACCTGGACGCATCTCTGTGACTTCCTCTGCCCTTCCTACTGCAGCGGCAGGCTGCCAAAGCTGACCAGATGATTTCTTTTAGTGATCAGATAAATTATTTACTTTGAAAATTTGAACAAAAAAATTAAAGAAACTTTCATTCAGAATAATCCATTTATCTGATGTTCGCACATCCTTAAAATTCTGTGAACATTCAATCTGGAATTAGTCCTAAATACTAATATTTTAATATTCAGCTGCATGAGCCAAGTTCATTTGATATGCCAATTTTAGCGAAAGAAAGAGCCAGGCCATGGAGTGTGATGCGTCCTTTACACACAGGTGGTTCTGATTTTACTGCCAGTAAAATACAGTCTTGAAATTCAAACTTTGTTAGTCTTTTCACTAACTGTCTCTGTTATCTGTTTTTCGGAGTACCTGAGTAAGGTCCAAAAAAAGAGATGGGGCCGTGGATGGTTCTTTAATGTCCTCCCTATACAAACACACGTTACAGAGAGTTAGATGGGCCCTGCCCATAAGCATCAGTTCCTTTAGTTTCCTGTGAACATATTTCCCCACTGTTTGCACTCAGACTTCTTATTTTACCTCTCTAATAAACAACAGTTTTTAGACTTTGCAGGCACTCAGCTGATACTTATATTCAAAGAGATTTTCATGCCTGAAACAGCAGGATAAGCTTCATCTCACAGATTACAAACACCACAGCAGACAATAAGCAACGACTGCATGCTCACGCTTGCTTTGCTTTGTATCTGCTTTGACACACTACCCCTGTTTTTCATCCAGCCTGCAGCTGGCCATGGAAACACTGATCATGGCTGAGCTGCAGAAAAACACGCTCGAGTTGTTCCAGCGTCATATTTGATTTTTGCTCTCTATAGATAAAAGTCTGACAAATGGGGTAAGGGGGGCTACAGAGGTCTTGCTCTAAGAATTCAATCATCAGACTGTCTCAAACACATGACCGAATCACTGGTGCCAATGAGCTTCTTAGTCTGTAAATAATCACAACTGTCCGCTGTGAAAAATCATCCTGTAAAATCAGTTTCCTCTTTAAAACATCTGAAAACAGATTTCAAAGGTATTATTTCAGTATCTTTCAATCAGGTTTTTCTAAATACTGTTTTCAATACATATTTGGATCCTTGGATTTATAATTTATACCTTTGAGGGCAGATGAATTTTCCTAAGCTTTACCTGTATTTTATAACGTCCCAGTAAGGCACTTTGAGATATATAATATTAACATTATCAAATCAAGGAGGCTCTGACACAGTAGCTATCAGTAAAACTGTCTTGTGGACACTGCGCACTGGAGCATTATTTGGGTGTAGCCTAAAATTAGGCCACGCCTCCAAAATCATTGTTTCTGAAGAACTGCAGTTGTTTTACAGTGGTGAAATAAAAGCAAAAACAGTCTTTGTAACAAAAAGCTTTCGTTAATGGTGACTTCTTTACTCCGCACAGTGAGAGTGCACTTGAAACGTAATCTACAAATTATTAATAGCACTCTGCCCTTTCATAGCACTTTATCAGCAAACTTTGTACATTACATTTGCACATTGCATATTTGCACATTTCATATTGAATATTGTTATTGATCAGCAGTGGTTGGCTTGGGAGCGCTGCTCTACCTGTAGGAGAGAGGACAGTAGGAGAGCGCCGCGGTACTGTCTAATGCAATTAATTATTAAAGAAACATAATGTGTTGTAGAAAATGTGTGCAGGTAATGTGTGTGCATGACGGTGAAAAAAGAGGGTGCAATTGCGAAAGTGCTATGGTTTATTTGTGTGATCACTCACCTGTTCTAAGTTGTGTCCGCTCAAGCTATTTCAGTCTGAAGAGTCCAGGGGTGAGTGGACATCAGGCTAAATGTTCCGGGAGGGAACCAACTTGTAAAATTGTTACAGGGGGAATTCAGGTTTTGGTTGTAATTGTATTCATCCTAAATAATCTTAGATTTAAATTATAGGAAGCATTTAAGAGGAGATTTATTGTACATAATAGAAATAAAAATGAGAGAAGTGGTAAATGCCGTTTATATTATTTTGAATAGATATGATCTTTTGAAAGACATCTTCAAATGGAACAGTCCAGGGAAGACAATCAACCTGACAGTATTTCAAGCACCTTTCAACATCTGTCTGTCTTGCTGGTTAGACCTCCTGTCTGTTTCCTGGTGTTGCTGTTACCTATTTCTGAAAAAAATCAGGACTGATCGAAAACATTTCCATACTGATACAGACTTTGAGACTAACTTGTTTGAACTCCAAGATTATGTAGATTATGGCTAAAGCAGAGGTAACCAACATTTTTACCATATTAGGAACAACACATTCAGCCGCCTCAGTTTCCTTTCTGTTCAGCTGGAGGAAATAATCTGCCATCCAAGCTTCTCTACAGTCACAAAAAACACTATAACAGACAATCTATAGAGATATTTTTGGGTTTAAAACTTGCATCTGAAAGTTATCTGATTAGAGACAGATAAGAGACATGTTTAAAAGCTCTGATAAGATATCCAAACTGAAGCACTCAACAGAGGATCCAAAACAGAACCTAGAGGGACACCACAAGACAGGGTTTGAACTGAGCACTGTCTTCACTGTCTTAGTGCCACAGTTTGCATGTTTTAAAAGAAGCAGATGAAGAAATGATGAAGCTCCTATATGTAGCTGCTGCTGCTGCTGTTCAGGTCCTCAAAGACACAGACGCAAAAAAAAAAAAAAAATCACACCTAAACCTACTATTCACACCCAACCAATTAAAGCAAACTATACTCAGTGTTAGCCTGGAAACACACAAACACACTCACAACCATCGGTTTATGTCTGGAAACAGCCATCTGTGTGTGCGCGCGCACACACACACACACACACACACACACACACACACACACACACACACACACACACACACACACACACACACACACACACAAGTGAAACCACATCGCTGTGGTGTGATTATGATGAACTGGTTAAACTGCAATTATGACGGCGAGCTATGGCAGGAGATGACATCAGTTTAGATCACAATTTGTGAGGCGGCGCGTGTGTCTGCTGCAGCTGGGGCCTGGTTTAATGCAGTAATTGATAGACTCTGCCAGTCACTAGTGGGTTCAGAATGAAAACTCAAATTATCATCATTAGAAAGCCTCTAATTACAGCATCCAATGCACATCAGCCATTT